CACTTTCAGTGTCTTAAGTACTAGTAGAGCTATAACAAGATATGAGCAATAGCAATTTAGCATTACAAAACAGAAGAGGATACACTGTAAGAGAGATTCATGTTGCATAGTTATGATTATTGTGCTTAAATGGTCTGTGAAAGGTAAATCAATGTGCCTGGTTACAGTTGAAACTCGTACGTAGTTTCACAGTGAATTATTTAATAAAGTTTCTTACATCAGTTAAAAATTGATGTATCAATTTTTGAAGTTTCTTACTTTTTTTTTATTTTATTTTGTAGGACATCCTTATCACACTTCTAGTGAGGGTAGTGGCAATGAATTTTCAAAACCTGGGCACCAGTTTCTTGGCCAGTAGTTTTGAATAAGTTACTCCTGAGAGGCAAAGCTATAAATGTGTCATATCAGACCTTTCCTTTCAAATTGAGTTAACCAAGCAACCAAACTACTGCTGGGTGTGCTAGTGCCGTTTCATTTAATAAACTGGGGGGGAGTCATGTCAGCAAGTGAAGCTGTATCTTCCAAAATGGTTCTGTGCTGAAAAGGCAGCTGTGAGATCAATAAAATCAAACTGAGACCTGCTGACTATGGAAATTTGGACAACAGAAGTGTTGGGAGGAGGTTAGAAACTTCAGCAGTAGGCTATAGTCACCGTGAAACTACTTTTGTTTGTTATTGATCTACAATTCTCACACAAGAACGCTGCAAGATATGAACAGGGTTTTTATTAAACAAGTGGAAAAAAAAATATGGCCTTGAATAGGTGGATGTCAAATGAGAGCTATGACACGCACAAATTAATTTCACTAAAAATGAATGTAAACAAGTGGTTTTCTTATCATGGCCTTGGTGTTGCAAAGTAAATGCCAATGTAAATTTTGTGTATGTGTTTATGTGTAGGTGTCTGTAGAGGATCGCCTTAAGCAGTTACAGGAGGCACACCGAGATTTTGGACCTGCATCACAGCACTTTCTTTCCAGTAAGTTCTTTGAATTAATAGACACGAGAGATATGACGACTTTCTCAGACACTGACTGATCTTTACTCCAAGTTTCCCTATGGCTTGAGGAAGTTCTCCTTCCATATTATCTACCTCCGTGTTTTTGTAGGGGTGTTTCGTCTTCATAACTGCACTGACAATCTCACTAGTGTGCTTCCCACTGTACCAACTTTCTGAGATACTGGTGGGACCTGGTTATTTTATTCTTTGTTCTCTGCTGCAGTGTCTAACCTGTGACTGTTCCAGAATCTTTCTTGTTCATAACCACATCTTCTCATCCTCTGCCAACTCTTTCCTCTGCTTCCTTTTGTTTCCACTCTTGCTGAGATGACACAAAGGAAGAACTGCCTGGACTTTTGATTTTTTTTTTTGGCATTAAAGACTTCATGTCATACATTCTTGAAACTTCAAATAAAGGGCTGAGGAAAGCAAACATGCATCACTTCCTCAAGACTTTCTATCTTTTTCTGTTTAATGAAAATTTTAGAGATGTAGGCCTATGTTCTCCCATATACTAAGAGGATAAAAAACAGATTTGACGTAATTTCCTACAAGTAAATAAGTTGTGATATCAAGATCCATGTTGATTTTCCGATGTTCTAACCTACATGGTATCATTAGGGCTAATGAGACAAAGTGTTAACCCAGTCACTTCTCCCATTTTTAGTGGAGGGTTTCAATAATGAAGATAAAATCATTGCAGGACTTGACAAGTCAGCATGAAAATGAGCAGCTCTTTCCCAGAGATTCTGAAGTACTGTTTGTCAGTGTATAGCTAAACAACTAATATAATTTAAAACAATAAATTATTCTTGATCTTTTTCTTGACTTAAGTCACAACCATGTTCTGATTTTAAATTGACAGTTTTTCAATAAACAAGATGCAATGTATATAAAATACTACGGCTGTTATGTAAAATAGCAATTCCTAGAGCCACTTCACCCTGTTCTTAAATTGACAGAACAAGCAAACAACTTAAAAAACTATATGATTTATTTATTATTTAAATTTAAACCCTATTAGAAGTATAGCATACTGTTGCCACTGCGGTTTTGTTGCTCTTCCAATCTCAAACTTGTAACCTTGACAGTCATTTTCTGACTTCACTACTGTGTCACTGTTAAGGCTGTTCTGTTCACCTTTCCTCACCTGGACCATTTCAAATATTCAGGTGACTGATCAGGGCAGGGGGAGAATCAATGGAAGAGTCCACATGTAAAACTTGCCAAGAAAAGTTTTGTTTATCTTGACCTGGATCATTTCCTTGATTTGGCTTACAGCCATGTCGCAGTAAAAAACTGCATTCACGAGACTGAGTGGTGAACTGGCTTTCTTGCTGGTTAAAACATTCGTAGAGTTACGTCCAAAGAGACTATGCAGTGCCATATCAGCATGCCACAGCCACGCTTAGGGAATCTTCTCCAGGCTTAAAGAGGCTTTAATTTTGTTACATACAAAAGTAAAAAAAAAAAGGAAAGCTTCCAGAATACGTGTTGGTAGATACCACAAAGAGCTGTAGCCAAATAACACAGTTTTGGAAAAACAAATAATACGCAGTTATCCGTTTAAACTCTTTGTTAAAAACAACCTCCTTCCCCGCACAAACTACAATAAAAACTTGTTAAAAAATGAAAATAAACCAAACTATTTTTAGAGATTCAGATAAACAGAGTTAAAGAACCTATACCTACAATTTTTTATAAAGTCAGTTAAGTGAAAGCAGGGGCAGTAACTTCAAAAGGAAAGTCATTAAAAAGTCATTATATCTGGAAAATTAAAGGTTTTATCCTGACAGGTTGCAAGACTGCATATTCTAAATCAAAATTTTCAAACCTTTTTAGCAGCAATAAATGATTTCAAACTGTGAGGAACAAGTTGAGTAGTAGTCTGAATAAAACAATCTCAAACTCCTAAAATTGCGATTGATATATATGTATGTCTTGTGCAAATCTGCACCTCCAAAACTGCACTTCTGAATTAGAGGGCAGATTTTTATCTGTGCTTGTCTGACAACATCTATTTTATATTTTCCTTACATACCTGTTACTCCTCCTCCAAATCCTGACAGGGGAACATAATTTACCATCACACCATTGTCAACTGACTAGATCCCAGTTATCATTTAATCAGTAATTTTTACTAGCAAAACACTTATTTCTACCTGTTTATCAGAATTATAGAATAGACCAGGTTGAAAGGAATAGAGTTTAAAAGATCATCTGGTCCAACCTTTCACGGGACGTTATCCAGCACCCTGATTCGAGCCCCATAAGTCCAGTGATTTCATCCTTGCAGTGGCTAGAAACATTTCAGTACTAAAAGGACACAGAGCAGCATTTGACACTGCTGTTTGAGTTCATGGAACACCAATTAGATGGATTCATGCAGACCATCACTGAGAAAGTGCTTCAAAGTATTTTTGAAGACTAGCAAATAACGTATTAACCCTTCCTAAAATGTTCTGCAGGAGGAGGCTGGGGTAAAGCAGTATTAGTAGGCCACTACAATCTATGATCCCTCTTTTTGCTGAGCTATTTTTTCCTCTCCCTTCATTGGCAGGCAGAGTATGTTGAACTTTTTTTCAGTGCTTTTGAGATGGAAGGTAAGCCCCTTGCAAGTTAGTTAGTGATCAGTAAATTTATACATCCCTAAAACAGCTAAAGGTGAAGAATCCTCATAATCCATTATTCTTTGTGAAAAGATTACTTTACTGTCTCCTGCCTTTAGAAATAGTAACTTGTTTTTTCTGTAATTAATTTATTTTCCAAGGTTGATGATCCACTTTTTTCTGTTGTGTTTTTGTATACTTCGAAGAGGAATCCTTGAACATCCACATAGTGCTGACTCCACAAGTTCCCTAAAAAATAGCCTAGGTATTCAGTGGCCTGCTCAAAGCACCTCTCAACCATACTAATACCTACAGACCTGCTAGTGAGTGCCAGAATTGATAACTACGATGTTCAGTTTTCATCAGGAAACTGATTTTTGAAATACAGTGGTTGTCTCATTTTCCAGAACTTCATGCAGCAGAGAACTGGTGATGTTTCACAAAGGTTGTTTCTGAACAAGTAGAGTGTGACTTGGTCCATAATAATTAGTAATTTGAGTACATTGTTTAGTCGATATTTGTGTCAGTGAAGAATATCTTTTTATCTATCATAGCTTATAAATTGTATTTGAGCAAATTCCTAGCTGACATAATTAGTGTAGTAGTACAGGAGCCACCATAGGTGCCAAATGGCAACACTAGAGAAAAACTCTGAAGCTGATGGCCACCTTCACCTATCTTGTTGATTTTGTTTCTTTTTTTTTTTTTTCAGAATTATGAATACTTAAGGATTATTTTTTAGTTAGCTACCTCTGTTTGAGCATTTAGCCTTTATTAGTCTTTTTTTCTTTACCTACCTCTTAATTGCTAATGTTATTTTCTTCTTTAAATAGGGAGATGGAATTTTCTCTATTTTTTCCAGTAAATGATGTGGTTTACTTTATTCCTGTATTTTCACAAATATTCTTCTCAGTTAATCTGTGTTTTCAGTTCATGAATGTTTCTTAAATTATAAACCATGAAATTTTGTGTGAGGTCACAGCCATTAAACCCCTTGGGAAGCAGTCAGCTAGTAGCAGGGTGAGACCTGCCTTTCTCTGGAGCTGCAACAGCCTATGGGACTTACACAATTTTTTTCTTTCAAATGGATTCTTTTTTCCAAAGAGGGATGAGCTGTAAAGTGGGCCATGCTTGCAGAACATTGCATTAATTGAGAGTTAATTACTTGAGATCCAATGTGGATCAAAGCTGTATCTCATTTTAGCAAGTTTTAAAAGAGGGGTATTAGCACCCCACAAGTAGGCACTCTGTCTCAGAAATGTTGTCATATGTGTGCAATATAAATTCATTCCATTGTGATGATTGTTTATTTCTACCTGTTCTTTCCATCCCTGGTTCTACAGAGAATCTAGTGAAGTGAGTTTTTTCCATGATAAACCCCTAATTACCCAGGTACTAGTCTGGTAATTTCTGGTAGGTATGTGTACCTGTGGTTTTTTCAGTAAGTAGCTGCTTATAAGTTGTCCATCTACAGTCCTGTTGACCTGAACACTTTTAACCTTTTATCTCCTGGGATCTTTAGATAAGCATGGTTGTAGTGTCATGTTTAACTTCATGCCTTTTTCAGCTCAGTGTGCAGAAGGCTTCTTGATGTTATGGATGATATCCAATTAATCAATATTAATTTGAGTTGCAAATAGGAACTAAGGGTTGTAACTAATAAAAATAAGATTGATATTTCTTCTTTTTTTGACTGTTGCAGAGCATTAATTATAGTAGTGGAATAATTTATTTTCAAAGCATAAACTGATAATAATTGTATAGAGGCAGGAAGACTGGTGTCTACAATTTTCCTGAATAGATAGCTTGCTTGCTTAGAATTTATTATCCTTCTTTGAAGTAGAATCACCACATTTGTTTTCTTTTCAGTGTGGCATCAAATAGATGCCTGGAATCATCTTGATAGATTGCCACAGTTCTCTTCTGCTGATTTTCTAATTACTGAAAGTAGTCGGGGAAATTTTGTTTCCGTTGGTTATAACCATATTAATTTTAAAATAAATAAAAGATAGTTAGATTTTTTAATTTGATACATGCTTTCTAATAACTACCTTGTCTTTATTTCCACAGCCTCAGTACAGTTTCCATGGCAGAGATCTGTTTCACATAACAAAGTGCCCTATTATATCAAGTAAGTTTGCCGTGATTCTTTTTTCCTTAAGCACGACAGAGGGTTTTATCACCATAACCTGGCAGAAAAAGATAGGGACTAAGTAGTAGCTAGAAATGTTACCAAGAGTTTCTCTACGTAGTGTTCTGCTGTGTATACTATGTAGCCGTGGTTATTGCTTTGCGTGCTATATAATTTAGAAATATGTAAAAAGAAATCAATGACAAACCCAAATAAAAACCTCACTCAAACAGATTGGAAACAGCAGGGACATTCCAGTATAATATATTATCAGTGTTCAAACTAGACTTGTTCTTCTGTATGCGGCTCATCCAGAGTATAAACTGTAAAGGGAAAGAAAATCTGAATAAATAATGTATTTAAAAATGCAAAATTTATAACCTGTAGCAAAACAGTGGTGACTAATATCTATCGAGCCCATTCATCATTTTGTACTAAATTTCTTTGAAAATATACATGTGTTGACTGTCCTTCTTTCCTTTTCTTTACCTTATGGAAGTTCTTATAGTGCTTGATTTTAAGGTAAATTATACATTAACATAAATATTTACAAAAATTGTACAAATACCTTGATTACCAAGAAGGAATGGTCAAGATACTTATTTTGAAAATAATAAGGAATACTTAGTTGTGGAGGTAAGGAGATTTTGAGGTGTTCTACTCAGAGCAATCCATAACTTGGCTTTTCTTATTCTATCAGCATTTATTTATGTACTGTTTGCTGGTACTTTAAAGGTCAAAGATTGCAGCTTTGAGAGGAGGATAACCGATTGCCTGAGAGGTAAATGAAATCTTAAGAAGGTACAGTGTACGGTAAGCGAGACCCAGAACAGTTCATTTTAGGCAGAAGGAAATCTGTTAAAATGTTATCAGTTTGAGTTTGGGACAAGGGTAGATTTTTTAAGGTAGGATGATTGTGAATTAAACCTGAAGATGGTTCATTCTGAAAGAGCATAAGGGAGGTTTTTTTACTACTGCCTGTTGCTCATAAATCTGAGAGCCACATTTTGTGCTTCAAACAATTTATGAGTACTTCAGAGCTTTGAAAAGCAGGTAACAGTAAATCTATGTCGATCAAACCTGTTATCATTCTTGAGGTGTGACGGTTGTTTTTAAACTGTCATATGAAGATTAATTTCTTTAAAGGGCTGGAGTACGTAACTACGAAAAGCAAAAACCTACTGTGAAGGTCCTTGAATTCTCTATGAAAGTATTTGTTGCTTCTCCTGATAAGTTTTGCAGGAGGCAACAAAAACTGTGACACACTGGAGAAGAGGTTTCTGGCTCCATCCTGAGTGGAAGAGGAGAGGGCGAAAGTTAAATGCAAAGGTTCACTCACTGCCAAGACTCAGGCAGAAGTGCTATTAAAGTGATCACACCTACGGCAGTAATTCAAAGAAAATGCTGAAGTAGCAAGCTTCAGAAAGCAAGAGGAAAACTACCCTAAGCCTGTGATTTTTTTTCTTATAGGTATGTCCTTACTGGACGTTGAAAGATGACAATTCACTTTGCTGCTCTATCAGAGCTGATAGCTGGAGTTGGGAGGGTTTATCAGATGTGGGTTGAACCCAGAGGGTTCTGTGGAGCTAATCGGTACACTCACAGTTGGTGAACAGAGATAGGAACAGATGGAACAAACTAAGATTAAAGCTTCTTATCTATGCTGAACAAGGCCATTTTAAACTTGAATATTACATGTGCGTATCCTTTTTTCATATTTAATACATTCTTTTGAGTTTCTGAGCATCTCTCTTACCCCACTTCAGCCAAAGTTCAGTTTTCGAGAAATCTTTATTTTATCGTTGCTAGTTCAGAAGAAACTAAGTCTTTCCAGTGTGTACCCTAGGTGCAGTCATGCAAGCTCACCAGCTGGTGGACAAGTATCCACTTGTGCTGTGGGCTTGCTCTGGTGTGTTGGCAGCCCTAGAGACAGATTGGGGCATGAAGCCAGTTGGGACTGAGAAAGAAACCCCAGCATCTCTCAGAAATTGTTTTAATGGTCTTGCACAGAAAGTTTGGTTAAGGAGCAGAAGTGTAGGGCAAATTCTTTAATTGTTGAGGTTTTTATAGTAGCAGAGACCACTGTTTAATTTGCAAGATGGCCTTAATGAAGTCAGCAGGATTAACTATTGCATCTCAAAGAAGACCTTTCCAGTAATCTTTCCCTACTTGCAACATGATATATGCTGCTGAAGCAATGTCTTGTTTCTTGTGTCTTGAAAGAGAATGATGGTGTGTGTAACTGATAGGATTTATTTTTTTGAAAAAAACTTGAGGATGAATACTGAATTTCAGTAGCTTCATAGTCTGAAAAGCAGACTGACCTTGGCAGTTTCCTACAGTTTTTATTTTTTACTGATCTAAACATCATTGTTTTCAGAAGCAGCTAGATAAATCAGAGAGTTGTGGAAGATAAAGCAGAAAAGAACTGATTCTGAATTATGTTATGATCGGGCCGGAGAGTACTCTTGGCTTTAAATACCCTTTTAAATCTTTTTGTGTTCCTTAATTTCAAATAGTTTAAAGAAGAGAGAAAAACAATACTGACACAAAAAACGTCCTGATTGTGTGATTAGTGATTACATGAGTGAGACAATTTAAGAGAATAGGCAACAGGATTTAATGGTGGATGTTTATATAAAAAGGAATGCTAGGAAAGAGGGAAAGATTGAATTAATTTTCCTTTTTTTTTTTTTTTAAATTGTACTAACCCCTTGCAAAGACTCGCCTTTTATGTAAAGCACTGCATGAGTAGAAGAAACAATTATGATGAGTCTCAATAACTATAATTTGAGAGCAACTATATTTACTGTATTTACAGCAAGATTTGTATATTTAGAGGGAAGGTTTAAGATTCCAGTTGTTAATTTTATGATGTAAAGAAGAAAAAACAGCAGAACAAAGATAACAAAAGTATGATCAATGTGGCTGAAAAATGAGAAGTCTTAAAAATTTTGAAAGGGAAATAAATGTTAATTGAAATCAGGCTACTTCTAAATAAGAACACATACTTTTCTTAGACAACCATATATTCGTATATTTACTTTGAGTGCATTTTGTGAGTGTCATTGAATGAGAAATGTAAAATATTCAGAAAGTGACATAGCTGCAGATGATGATGTAGTTGTACCTCTGTTAAGGTATCTGGGAAAAACAAACAAACAAACTGCACTCTGTAATTTTATTGCACACAGAGAATGAATTAAAAAAAAAAAAAAAAGTAGGGAACTGCACCTTAGAAGGCAGGAGGGAATAATTTAGGTAGCAATGAATCTGTAAGAAGAATGTCAAAATGATGCAAGATGTCTGTATTTCCAAATGAGCAGCATTTTTTCTGTTTATTTTCTAACACCAGAGGCAGCTTGCATTTACATGATTAGAAAGGAGTATCTCTGTGAAACAGGTCTTTGTGGCAGCACACCATGGTGACTTGGGAGTCCAGTTTGTTCTCTCCACTCCATTTAATAACAGTTGGCATATCTGCCCTTTCTTGGGTTTTATTTTATCAGGTAATGAAGCATGTGAAAGATCAAAAAGCCAGTTTACAACCTCCTCTGCTGTATACGTTCAGACAGAGGCAATCTGGGTTTGGGGCATTTTGGAAAGGAGCAACTATTCTGCTTAGCTGGAAGAGGGATTTCTAATTCATTGTTCTCAGGTTTATCAAGGTGTGTGTGTGTGTGTCCTGGGCTATGGTGAATATGGTGAACTGAACTTACACACATGATTTAGCCTCCTTATTTTCTCCTCTTGAATTTTCTTAATGTCTAATCAAAATTGTGAAGCAGTGCTACCTCTGTTGATGTAATTTTATTTAATCCTTTTGCCTCCCATTTGATTTTTTTTTCTTAATGGCAGTTGATAAAATGTTTTGTATTTCTGTAGTCTTTGTCTTCTCTGTCAGTAAAATTCAATGAAAACCTTAACTGTAAAATCTTGATGCTACCGGAAAAAAAACTCATAATCTTTCATAATTTATAAAAGAGAATGGAACTAATGAGCATATGGAGGAGAATACAACACAGCAGGCACAGTACTTATGAATGCACTTTAGGTAATGAAAGTGTGAAGTTTGGACAAAAGGTTTGGCAAACTTGCCATTGAATACATATTTCATAGGTTGGTTTGTAAAGGTTTGAGTTTTAATAAGGAGAATTTTCTGTTTTTCATTTATAACTATTTGTATCATACAAATAAGACATCCTTGGCCTCCATAATAGTAAATGGAAAAAAAATAAAGCCTATGTTACATAGCATTTCAATAAAAATATTCTAAATATAAACAAAGTAATAAAGGAGACACTATGTAAGATAATTAAACATCCTTGAGGAAAACATGATGAATGTGTAGAAAACATAATTACCCTGGTGTTTCTCACTGTTTTTCATTGAACTGTAATTTAAGTGTTCTTCAGCAGTGTACCTTTCAGTGCCATAAGTTATTAGATATTTGTACTGTGCAGAAGAAACAAAAGGGTGATACAGAAGAGGTCACAGTAAGTTTAATCTCATGCAGGGCATTACATAGAGCAATTTCTTGGTGTAGCCATTAAATTTATCCATATCAAAACCCTTAGTTGCTGTGCTTACTTTTCTGTAATCCTGCAAAGAGGCTGGCGTAACAAACATCTTAGAAATCCCATGTTATCACCTCCTATATCATGTTTAACTTTATGGGGCACAGGAATAAAATGTTTCCTGCCTCACGATTTTCTAAGGCTCTTAAGAAAGTCTTTCCTGATGTTTGGTTTATGCCTGTATGGGGAAGATGGGGAGAATTAATGGAACAAATAAAATATTTTTTTTTGCTTATTCTAGTTATATGCATAATCCCATTCTTTTAAGTATTAATAAAGTATTTCCCTGAGAAGGGAAAATAAAACCTGATTTGCAGAAAGAGGTAATACAGGTTTGAGGTTTTGAGAGTTTCTTCAATTACCAGTTCCTGTGCTGGTCTTTGTTTTCAATTGAAGAAATGCAGTAGCACATTTTTTAAAATC